GTTGGACTCTATGGGACGACGCGAGACGTGTGATCGATCAGGTGAAAGTTTCAATTGAACCGCAACTCTGAGCATGGTAATATCCGGTATTGCTTACGGGAGGGTTGCATGTCGAAATGCCCGTTCGACCTGCTGATCAACGGGAGAATCAGAGATTTAGGTTGTGCACATGTTTGAAGTACATCAATCATCCTTAGTTGTCCATGAGAACCAACGTGAAAAGCTATGGAACGAATAATACACAGTCTGACGGATCTTGCATGGAACACCAATTGTGTGAGTACCATGAGGTAGTTACAAGCCAGGTGTCATCGTTGCGAACAATCTGAGCCGATATTACTGGTGAAGCATCAATTCGCGATTCCTACACTCATGCCCTCATCGAGTGGTCCCCGCCCCCCGTTTATTGTTGACGTCGCTCGTTGAGAGTGAAGACTAATGTGAATTTGAATGGTTTGGTGAACTGTTGTTTTATAATGTTATCACGAAGCCCCTAGGGTAATGCGTGAGCTCGAGTCTGATGGCATCGCTCGCTGAAGTTCAATTATCCCTTAACAGATACCAGTGCTTGGTAATTTCTGTCATCTTGCTTGGTGTGTGTATATCTATGATTTAGTAAGATCAAGGGGCTACAACGTTTGTGGAGTCATGGGCACTCTCGCGATCCATCGGAATGCGTAATTGAGTTAGTGGACCTATAAGTCGCTCTCAAACAGGTTATTAACTCAATTACTGTGTTCACACGCTGGGAGCTGCACCCTCCATCCTTCCTATAAAGTTCATAATTGTTGACTCATAGAGATCCCTGCTGAACAAGACTAAAAGTTATATTACAAGGGCAATAAGCCACGAAAATTACTTTCAGCAGCCGAGTTTCACTCCTCTGAGCCCTTCCTTCTGAGTACTGCTTTTCTTTTTCCTTTTCCTTTATTACTCAACTATTGTATTGGAAAAGCGGGCAAGTCTCGGTTAATAGGCTGCTGGAAATGAAGCCCTTGGCTATGGTTACACATCTCTTGGCTGGCGTGAAGTAGGGAGGGAGCCAGCCCTGATATGATTAAACAAGTATTGTCGCTGCCTGTGAACAGAGCAAATAAGGATCTCGTTTTTGGCGATTTGATGTGAGGGCTTAGTGGGAGGATACTCGTTCGTGTTACACCCTATTTGGTTGATGGGGAAAAAGAAAGTACTGAAAAGAGTTGCTTACCTTGTAGCTAAGTTCCTGTTTGACGATGATTAAAGGATCTTGCCCTGTCTGGCATACGAACGAGTGTGTGTTAACCCCTCCGTATTTCGTGGCAATGAGCAGACATGAGACGTTGTGCAGCGGGCCTCCGCGCTATATATGGGTTGGGGAAAGCACTCGGATGAACCCTTGTCCATCATGAAGGAGGATGAAGTCCTAGTGATAAAGTGCTGGTTAAACAAGGACAAGAAAGAAGGATGGGAAGACGAGGCCTGCAAAGATATGGATTTGCACAGACAGACTTAGAGAAAACTGGCTGTACAGCTGGATGGGGAGAAGAAGTTCATTGAAAATGTGATTTATTTCTACAACCACAGTGGCAAATTACACAGCACTGGCTCACTACTAGAAACGGTGGAGCAGGCCAGGGCAAAGCTCAGTTGAGCGCAAGGGTGCCCAAGTTCTCTCCCTCAAAACAACTCCTCCAGCGCCCTAGTTAGCAAGTGCCATTTAGTGATTTGTAGTTTTCTAAGTGTTCCGATGTCAGCTGATCAGCATTCGGCGACTCGATATCTTGGAATCTGATTAGTATTTAATTGGTGCCAACATTTATTTCAACATTCAATCGGTATTCAAGCAACATTTATTCAGCATTCAATCAGTGTTCGGTCAACATTCAACAAAAACCCCGGTCACTCTTATTTGCACCAGAGATCAGCATCAATCAAGTAGTACCCTCCTCTAAATATACTGAATCAGTTTCAGCATCTGGCTCAGCACATGAGTACAGTTCAGTCATTTTCAGTCGAGGGGTCAGTTTTGGCCAAGCTCAACAGGATTGCTTCAAATGAAGCTTTCCAATATCAGTATGTCAGCGCTGTTGGTTTTAGACGAGGGGGTTTGTCAATCTTTGCAGTTCTCACCCGATTCGGAGGCGGCACCATCCTTGACCTGTGACTCTATGTAAAGAAGGACAAGGAAGCCCATGATCACTTGACTCGGTCTGGATCACAGTTGTCAGACATCTGAAAGAGAGAGAGAGGGAGCTTGATGAGAATGGGACAAAGCTGATCCGTACCTTTGGACCCAAGCTCTACACGGACTACCCCAAGCCCCCGGTACCTTTCACCCTCACTGACGGTTCTTACTGGGGTGAACTGGTGGATCTGGCTAAAAGGGACATTTCACCTGCAACGATCGATTATGACGCAGTAACCGAACCTTCAGAGTTTCGACATCTCAGACGAGGGATTTTCTCTCAACCATATCTTCCTACTCTATGGGAAGAATTATGTGCTATGGTCGACTTCTGTATCATGGGACTTGGCTGGAAATGTTCGGAGCTCGCAGGATTTAGGTGGCTCTACATCCAGAGACCACAGACTCAGAGAGTACAGAGGCTTGGCTCGAAGCACAAGAAACACGCGACAAAATGAGAAGTTGAGTGTGTGATACCGAGGGATGAGTGAGGACTCTTGACTAGTGCTGGCCATGCTCTCTACATGTGTACTTTATGAGACTATTATGAGTTCTCATTCTTCCCTCATTCATCCTTGTCATTGCTCAAGTCGGTCAATCTTGCATCGTCTACTCTGCCTTTGTTTGATGATCATGTTCTCTGATGATCCTGTCACAGTTCTCAAAATTAGAAAATTGACAAAATTGACGCATGCATGACACACCAGAGTTTCATGATTATAATTTGCATGAAGCTTTGCTGTTCAGAATCAAAATAAAAGATTCCTAGGACCGAGGACCGACGAAGACCGCAATTGAAGGGTCTCGCTCGAAGCCGGACGCACACAACAGGAAGGGATTTGCTCTAATTAATTTATTTTATTTATTGCAAATTTCATCCAAATCCTGCGTGACAGCCTATTGGCTTTCTGGTCGCCTGAAGTGGCCTGACTAGAAAAAGTGCGACAACGGCCTTCACTTACGGCCCGCCAACTTTTTCACAGGCAGCCTCTTTCGAGGACCGCCAAGGCCGGTAGCCTCACAGAGGTGTAGTTCTCCATAAAATTTGTATGATGTATGAGGAGACAAAAGCAGGGGCGGAGAAGGGGTAGATCCTTCCTGGTTAAGGAAGGAATCAATGCCGCTGTCTCAAGGTTCCTTCACCATAATAAGGGGAAATGTCCCTGCCGTTCTTAATTCTTGCAATAGATTTTATTTGGTGGATATTTGTGTGTTGGCATTTGATACTAGTAGTACGGTTCCATTTCCTAGAACTTTTACTTGGAGCAACGACTTAGCTTTCCCTTCTTTTTGTTGGCAGGCAGAAGGGGCTAGGTAGCAATCATAGTTGCAGCGCACCTCGGTGCGTGAATTTGCGCACGAATTGTGCACCACGCGCACCGCACTTGAAAAATTAGGTCAAAAAAAAAAAAAAAAGTAGGGGTTTTGTAATTTCTTAGGGCCCCCAACTCGGCAAAAATGTTAAACTCACCACGCAAGCTCACAAACAGGCCGTGCCCACGGCCCAAACTTTTCTTTTGGGTAAGGGCTGCTGAAAATTCGATTTGCGCAGGCCCTTCCCCCAAAAGTTTCAGAATGGCGAGGCACAAAATAGGGTTCATTCCAACTTTTGTTTTGGGCAGGGTATGGAAGTTGTCCTTCCCGCTGCCTTCTGCAAATCCCACACGGTAGTGGGGTAAGTTCGCAAGAAGGGGTAGTCGTCTAATAACGACCTGCCCCGCGAAACTTCGCAGAAGTCACAAACTGCATGTCCTATCGCCAGCCGACCACCAGTATATGCTGAAGATTGGCGTTCAGGTCCGTATGTCGGCAGTTATGGGTTAGGATGAAGATGCCCCTGGCTCTCTCGTTTTTTGGTTTTTGTTTTCTTACGAATACGTCCAGTGGGGATGCACAAAAGACATAGCATATGGCGGTGTATGGTTCCATGTTTTAGCAGAAGATTCATTCTACTAATATTATATACATTTGGTGAGTGGTGGAGGGAGGCCCTGAGAATCACATGGAGACACGAACAGGGTGTAGCTTATTTGGTGACCCATAACTGCTGAGCTACAGCCCTGAACTCGAATCCACAGCATATATTGGTGGTCTGCCCACATCTCTCCCACACGTGACCAGGCCATCCTTCTCATTGAAGCTGGCCCTCAATGGCTCCACATGTACTGTAGGAGCCATTCGAGGTACCCGCAGGGGGCCTCGAATTGACGAGAAGGGGACCCTTTGTTGTCTCTCTCTCTTTCTTTCTCTTTCTCTCTCTCTCTCTCTCTCTCTCTCTCTCTCTCTCTCTCTCTCTCTCTCTCTCTTGGGGCCTTTTTTTTTTTTTTTTTTTATCGCGCACAGGGCGCAACTCCCTCAGCGCGCGCACCGCACACAGCGGACAGCACTGCGTACTGCGCACAGCACACGGCGCACAGTGCGCGCGCTGTCGTTCCAGCACACAGCGCAGTGCGCACCGCCCCACACCGCACTGCGCACTGGTGTGCCGCAACTATGGTAGCAATTGATTGTCTGAATTGCAGAGTTTTCGTTTGGGATCGGGTCCCTTTGGGTCCTGTAAAAAGCGAAACTGGGCAAGGCTCTCAGACTCCTCTCTGGCATATTCCGGGTAGACTGTGAGGACCCCAGCCTCCACAATTTTCTTTTGCTAATATCAGCCTTGGGCATGGGGCCCGTTTAAAAAAAAAAAACAAAAAAAAAACAAGGGGAAGTGTTCAGTGTGCAACCAGGATGTTCCATAATGTAAGGGATGCTGAACCCGGTATTCAACCAGTAATACAATATGCTTTTCTTTTCATATTAAAAAAAAAGAAAAGAAAAGGATAGGATGCCTCACCTAGCACATGCTTAAACTGACTTCGGTGAGCTTCTAGGAGGGCTGAGTTGCGTCGAAACAGTAAAATTGTATACCTGAGCTGACATGGCAAGAGAACATGCGAAGCAGGAATAAGTGAAGACCCACGAAGACAAAATGAACAGGCGTATGATGAATACAAACAGAACTCAGTGAAGACTAAGAGAGCACATCAGATGAGGAAAGCACATGAAGGGAAAACATAACAACGACATCTGAAAAGAGCACAAGAAAACAGAACACAGCCATGGTATACAATATGGAACATGGCCAAGGAAAACACAATCAGATGTAAATGGAAAAGAAGAGAAGGAAAGATGGGAAAGAGCATCATGGGAATTGCAACATGAAAAGAGAACAAGGGACTCCAATCTCATCTATGGACGAAGCACAGAAATCCAGAATGCAAAATCACACTGAAGTCCAAGTAGTCAAAGCCAAAGCAGATAGCACATGGAACCGAGTAACCATCCCATTGAGAATGATACAGAAGAATCGTGAGTCAATGTCCATGCCCAACAGGGCAACACCAACAGCATAACCCAAATGTAGCTCTCTCTTGTGAATGGCGCCAGGCGCCCTATCTACTCTACAGC